CAATTTTACTATAAAACCTCATAACCCTAACCTTGTCGTAGGCCCTAACCCTAACATTAACGAACTTAAAAATTTTGCCCGGTATCACGTGATCGAAAAAAAAATTGGTGGCGATGCTGGGGAAGATGACAAATCGTGTGACTGCTATTGATACATCAAAAACGTAACTAAAGTATCACCTTGACTAATCATTTCGCTACGCTCCGGGCAAAAATTCTATTAATTTACCGTTACAATAAAAAAAAATATATAGCTCATATATGGGTGGAAAGATTCCTATAAAAACGCATACGTAATTCTGACGGTTTATTTTGTACAGTACTGTATAACAGCCAATTTCGATTTCGTACTTCCTTTTTTTCTTTATTCTGCAATATTATTTTTGTGTATGCTTCCTTTTTTTCTTTATTTATACAACATTTTACACATTCCAAAAATACTATGGACTTTTTTATCGATATGTTGTAAATCATGCCAAATTTACAAAAACATTAGAGGCATTTCGTGAGAAAAAAACTTGCGAACATTTGATGAGTATATTTAAAACAGAAAGAAAATGTTACAGCCACGATTTATGAAGTCTCATGAAATTCATAACGATTAGAAATTAACAAGACCAAACTTTCAAATAATTACTTGCTATATATATATCTGTCAATTTTATAATTGAAAATCTTGCAATTAATGCTATAACGATAATGAATAACGATAAGTCGAATAAGTCGAATGTTAATTTTAATTTTTTGAAGTTAAATATCTTAAAAGAGATAAATTTGAATAATATAGTCGACCTTCCCTCCATAAATGCACATTCTCGGGAAAAGTGCATTATCGATACACGCGATGTTATATAAATTGCATTAGACTGAGGAAGTGCACACACATATACAGTAGAAGAGTAGTAATTCATATCACAGACAATTAGATACTGATTTATCGTTACGATTAGATCTATTATAATCTACATGTGAAATCACTTCGTCTCTATATACTGTAATTAAAATACACCAAATTGATCATTGCAGCATTGTTTTTCCTGCTGTGAAACGAGTTAAACTTTAATTAAATATTAAAAGAAAAAAGACTCATGACATGAATAGATCACCTGCCAGTTTACCCTTATATATATATTAATAACAGTAATAAATATGCAAAATTAACAGGTTTGACGAGATGATGACTTAGTTGTGCACTTTCGACGGTTAAAAAAATGGCACCACACTTTCCTGAACATTTTACACAAAAGAAGGATATAGTTTCTGAAACTCCCTTTGAAACTTTTAAAAACAAATCAAATCATGAAGACTTTCAAGCTCTTAATATATTCTATCAAGAAGCAAGAAATGCCTTCTTTCTAAGAGACTATGATTCTGCATATTCATCGTGTGAAGCTGCGATTTCTAAACTTCCAAGTCTCCCTTTAGTCACCGAATGTCCTTCAACAAGAATCATACAAGTAAAAGTTTGGAATCTTTATGTAAATCTTATAGCTGCTCTGCTAGCTGAAAGAAAACAAATCGTGACCAAGGACTTTGAGATTAAACATCTCTTAGAAAAACAGCCTGAGGTAATTTGTAGAGAGGTTTATAACAGAGTGGTTAAAGTTGGGTATGACAATGAAGATGGAGATGTTCCTGGCGAGGTGATTATTGCATGGTGGGTAAGAATTTTCTTTTTTTTTTGTTATAAACGTATTTTTTATTCATTTTTAAAACCATTTTTTTTCTATTTATTTTCTAACTAACGATTTATACATTTTATAATGGGAATGGAATTAAATTTGATAGCGTACTTCTTTGTTTAAACCAAAAATGCTATAAGATTGCACGTAGTATAATAGAAGACTGGATTGAAAATACACCTATTGA